GTCTCCATGCGGAAAACTCACGACATACGACAACTTGCTCGTTATTGCTTTGCAGACATCTCTAACGCATAAACACACGAACGATCTTGAAACACCAAATAAATTGGCTATAGTCCTATATTCAGCAGTGGATGCCAAGAAGTATAATGTAATGGCCAGCCGTCGCTTCGCCGAAATTGCAGAACGCATGACTGTATCTTTGCAGCGTATATATTCCATGACTTTATTTAAAAGAAATTCGAATGTCCCCCTTGTAACTCGAAAGTTTGAATACCAAAGTTCGTCATCATACTCTCGATCTACCATCTCGAACCAGGTAAGTGATCGTGGATGCATCCACAGTGCTCTATAACGTGGACGGTTAACACAAACTAATATTGCTTTCAAAAATGTAATTCGGAGTTTATTCGTTGAATAAGCATCTGATCTCAGCAGGGTTTTTTTCTCTAATATTTTATTACCTCTTTTTTCTCTCCTACGAAGGAACCAAAGTAGCAGTAATTTGAGTTTGTGTGCTTGGTTGAAAGCCGCCATATTTAAATTTTCCCGCGGAAATATTAACCGCTGAAAATGTACTTTGGGCTCTATTTTTACGAGTGCCGTGCCAAATTATTGGAGTGCCCGTCGAATTTTTTTTGGTCCGGCAATTTGGCAAACTTTTGTCGTGTAAACGTGTGAGTGCCGTGCTATGAATAAATGGTACGGTACCAAAATTAAGCGTGCCGTGCCATAAACGTTTGTCGTGTAAACGGGGCTTTAATTCGTGTGAAATATCAGACCTCTGTTTTTTGCATGAACCTCGCTCCTTCGTCGCTCGATCCATACCAAAAAACCTCGGTCTGATAATTCACAGTACAGACCTAGCTCACGCTCGCTCAATATAAGCCGTTATTATTATTCATTGTACTATTTTCTCGTATTCTTATTGGTTGAAAGCCTACAGATAATTTTCCGTATCTCAGTGCAGACATGACTATGACAAATAAATCTCGTATCTGCACGTGAACATGACAAATAAATATCGTATCTGTAGGTGCCCGAGTATTTTTGCGGCGGTATTTTGCATGAATCGAAAAAGAGCGGAAAATTTTGTAAAATTATTTTGTTTTGACAATGGCTTCTGCTGCTTCTGCTTGTTTTGAATAATAAAAGAATAATAAATAACAAAAGAATAATAATGAATAATAAAAGAATTATTGAATTTGCCTTACGATATCAGAATTATTGAGACCTCGGTCAACGTTCTAACGTTGACCTCGGTGTGAATAATTCGGATATATCCTGCTCAGCCTCATCCAATAATTCTTAATTGATAATTATTAATTATCAATTGATAATAATAATAGAATAAAAACAACAATTTATTGGCAACATGTATCCATAGCGTGGATAACTACCAAAATGGGAATACAAACAATAATAATTATTATTCATGTACAAGTATGAAATAATTATAGTATGGAATAATAATGTACTCAATTTGAAATATGCTGTTCGAAACTACATTGTTCGAAATATATTCGTAAAAGGAAAGAGATTTACAAGTAAAATTGGTATAACAAATATTATATAAAAATACAAAAATATTGTAAGCTACAGTACTTTAAAATCAAATACTAAATTCTTGATAAATCATTAAAAATGAAATTTATACTTTCTAGTCGATTATATTTAAGGATCAAGGCACAACGCGATGAAGCAAAATTAACAAAATTTAAAATCATATCAAAACAACACATATCCAGGTACGGAGGAGGTCGGCCAAAACATTAGTAATTTGTGCGCTAATTCGCAGATCGATATAATCTAGGTTCATTTCCGTTTGCGGCGCAGATATAGTGTGGGCCCTGTAACGTTGTCAAGCGGAAACTTGAATATTTTCATGGGAGATTCTAACTTTTTAACTACTGAAATTTAAGGGCTGACCAAAAGGCAAAATCTCCCGTATAAAAACATTCAACAACGTTATAGTTTGCCTTTTCAACTAACAATAAACAATAGATTACTTTTCTAATCTAAGTATGATCACACTAGAAAATACATGCATGCAGAAACCCTCGCCTTGCTGACAAAACCATTGTATTTCCCGAACATAAAATTAAATTGTTAAAAAAAAATTTTAATAAAATTATTAAAAAAAAAAATAACATGAAGTATCTATAGTAGTTGTCATGGTAACACGAATTCAGGCCTTTTGCGGCCAAATAACTCGATTTTGGCTTTTTTTATTTCCTGTTTGGCCTTGAAAAAAATATTTGTCCTTTTGATTCTATTTTCGCTTTTTATCAGGTGACAGGAATTTTCACTATCTTTAGTATAATTTATTATAAAGGAATGTTAAACCTTGTCACATGTAAGAATATAAGAATTGTATATTGTTGACAGAGGATAACCTAATTTTATTGACACTCAATATAAAGATCTCAGGAAATTCAGCCAATCGTACGTAAAGCTGAAAAATAACCAATGACAACATTGTAGCTATGTCTTCGCAGAGGTTCGTCCCGAAAAATGACAAAATTTGCTTTAAAATTTGATTTTTTTATCTATCAAGTTATCAACATACTGTACTTCTCTAACCCTAGAGATAACCTGACCAATGTAAGTAGCAAATATTGATTTGGCTCTTTTTTGACTTTTTTCAAAAAAATTAAATTTGGCCTTATTTAGTAGAATTTGGCCTATTTTTAAAGGTCATTTGGCTTTGTGCATGCGCGAAAGCCTACCAACCTTCGGAAGGCTTGCAACCTCGTTCCCAGAACACCGCGGAAAAACGTCTGCGCATGCGTCAACCTTACCTGTAATAGTATTGCGAACTTGATGAGAAGCTGTTCCGAACATTTCCGAAGGCTCAAAATGGCGGTAAAAAGGAGTGACTTCATTGTGCGTCTTTACAGCCAGATTTCGAGCGCAAAAATAAACATGTCATTCTAAAAACTAGGAATAAATACAGCCAGAAGGTTAAAGAAATTGTACTGTACAAGAACATGAACTAAAGGTGATTGTTGACAAATTTATCGTCTGAAACATTTTGTTTATCAACTAAGCAACGAGAATTTCCGAATTTTCGTTTGAGATACATTTCTTTAAAAAAAACTGTGTCGCCAAATATAAAAAAAATTCGTGTTCACAATAATTAAACTTTAGGATTTATTCTACAATTTGAGTGGGTTAAGAAGCTTAACTTTTCGAGAGTTTTCTTAACTTTTGAGTTTGAATTTTTGTTTTGAATAATTTTGCAAAAATTTTCGAAGTCGTGTCCGTTAAAATCAACAATGGTGGGGAATTTGAATATCAATTTCTAAAACAAAAACATGCTTATTAATTGGTCAAAAATTAGTAAAACAAACGAGAAAATATAGCAAATGTGTAGACTAGACATTAATTGAAAGCGTCCTGGCATTTAAAGCATGGAATGAAATATAATTCATGTAAAAAATGTTGATTTAAACGGGCACGATTTCGAAAATTTTTGGAAAATTATTCAAAACAAAAATTCAAACTAGAAAGTTAAGAAAACTCTCGAAAAGTTAAGCTTCTTAACCCACTCAAATTGTAGAATAAATCCTAAAGTTTAATTATTGTGAACACGCAAATTTTTTATATTTGGCGACACAGTTTTTTTTAAAGAAATGTATCTCAAACGAAAATTCGGAAATTGTCATTGCTCACTGAGCTATACTATATTACTGGAGGACCTGCTCGGGATAAAAAAGTGTCCGCAAAAACATGGCGGATCTGATGCCATTGCCATGACTACTGGTCCCTAGATTCATGGCAACTACCTCAGTGGCAACTACCACTGCCCCAACCGCGATCCTAAGCTTTCGACAATATACTTCACCCCCCTGGTTTCAGCCCAAAAATTTTGTTTTCGAGGTAAAAATCTCATTGAAAATCTTGATATTTTTATCCAAGTTTGCTTGATTTACAACGGACACTGCCTTTTTGCGCCGCTCGTATGTATGAGAACTCTTCAAACAAGAACTAGAAGAATATTTTCATTCCCCGGTAAGACTTTTATATTTGAATATTTCTAGATTCTAGCTTGCTTGATTAAACTCGATAGAAATACAAATCCCCGTACGAAAAATGGTTGGGAATTCTGTAATTTTATTGTTCTTGTGATTTACCACTAGCCTCTGTGTTTTCATATGGTTTTAAAGGCTGCTTGTGGTGTTAAAATCCTTACTGTGCACTTACATTACATATTGATTTAGTACTACAGACTTCAGTGTTATAAAGATACGGTATATTAAAGCAAATTTTCCCTGACAAACTTTGAGTGATATATATCCTTGGCGACCTTGCCAGGTTCTTGTAGCAGTTATTTATAATTTCATACTGTGTAGTTATATTAAATGTCACTTCTACAACAGGCAAACTGCAAAATTGCTTTGCTAGGCCAAAGATAATGTATCAAGTTCAAACCATTCAAATGATTCAATACCCATTGCAATCAAGCAATAACCATAAACCTCTGAATATATAAGCCCCAATGACAGACCCCAAATATAAGCCCTCCTGTGTAGAACGGCCACCATAAGAAATTCTGAATATAAGTCCTCTTCCGAATTTAAGTCCCTCAGTCTGTGTTAGCCCATGGAGACTTATTTTTGGACAGGTATTTTTTAATGCAGCAAAGGGATCCATTCCAACAGCTCAGCCATCAAAAATGCTAATAAATGCATATCAGAGGTTTACATGGTACATTCATCTGACCAACATAGTTTGTCAGAGGTCTATAAATCCCACAGCCATTAGAGTTGTATTTGTAGGAATTAATAATAATGAAGGGTGTGTACGTGCCAGCCATGCATATTCTCTCAATCACTGCCCTTGGCATTGACCAAAATTGTGCCCTGACAATTAACCAATCAAATTGATGATTGATAACATGTTTGAGAGCATCTTCAGTGGGAGTGTTACTGTTCCCAGTATTGGCAGGAGTAGAGCCCAACTGTTCAGTTAGACATTATTTATGAACTTTCTCTCTTAGATCTGCATACATTAGTCAAGATTATTTTTGATATATTCTAATGTAAAATGAAACTTTGGGATAGTTAAGAAATACAATTAATCCATTTATAATGGACAATTGTCGTCTTGACAAGTAAAATTTCCTGGCATATTAGACAGGCTTATAAATGTCAGAACTGATATATGTGAAAAAATTACTGAGTGAGTCAATTTATTTGACATACCATGATATTAATTAACCATTAGGTTGCATTGTGCCCTAATGCACCCTACTTTATTATTTTACTCTGTCTAACACCAGACAGTTGTGGACTGGAGAGCCATGCATTAACATATCAATAATGTCTAAGTGAGCAGTTTAGGCTCTGTTCTACAGTAAATTTCCCTGTAATCAGAGTCTGGGATCTGTGACCCAATACATCTTCAGTGTCTTCATATGATACTGTCACTATTTTATATGTATAAT